CCTTTTTTTCGGCCCTAAAGCACTGTAGCATCCAAATCAGCATTACCAGAAAGTTCTCTCTGAAGAATTCAGGCAGCTCTAAACTCAGGATGTCGTCATCCAGAGGAAGAATGTAGAAATTCCACTCATCGGTTGTAACATCTAAGAAAAAACGTCATTAGGAGGCCCAGGACCAAAGATTGAAACATTAACACACTTAACCTACCTCCATAGACTCCCTGCTCTTCCAAAATCGTCTCACATGCATAAAACTGTAAAGAATGCCATAACATCAAAATCACACAACAAAATAAAAATGCTGCATATTTGAACAATTTCCAGACCTCTAGTTACCTTTTGGGGGGTAAATATGATCTTATATCTTCTGAATCTTCCAGCCACTTTGTCTGAATTAACCAAATCTGTAAACATTGTTAAAACAAACTATTAAACTACACTTCCTTCTAGATTATAAATCACTACGTAACAGCAAACCATGCCAACCTGAAATCCACTTCACAGTTTGTATTCTGGGACGTATCAGGAAGCACAGCCTGCGAAAAAGATATGTCGCCTACATTTTACCGAGGCATTACAGTTTTTAATTGATAAAAACTTACTAGTTTACTTACTGGTCTGAACTGCTGACAACTGGCTTGAGCTCAACTTTGTACAGTTTGTCGACTTCGTGTTGCTAAAGGTGAAATCAGGTGTAGACTCGTTAGGGTGTGAATACATATTTCTATATTAATAATATTTCAAGAAGATATAAAATGCTAGTCATTTAGAAAGACAGCGTGCCAGTGCTTTCTCCTAAAATGTATTACATGATAATATACCTTCAGGATTGTGACATTTGCTATTCGATCAAGAGGGCTCATCAAATCTGCATCAATAAATAAATCCTTCTTCCCTGGCAACTGCAAAAACATACATGCTGACATTTACAATACAAATTCAAAATGCAAAGTACTTTTCTGAAGAAACAGTGGATGGTCATGTCACCTGCTCCAGCAGGAAGATGAGCTGGTCTCTGGCCAGTCTTTTGAGCAGGGAGAAATCAGGCAGCCCAGGAGCATCTCTCCTCTCTGTGTGTGCCATATGGAGAGATCCCACCACTCTGTCCGATGCTGGATATAGCTGTAAAACATTTCTCTGTAACATTAGCCTCTGTCACTCAGATCTGTGGAAGCTGCAGATGCAGAATGACAATTACAGCAGCTTGTCTGAATTTTGCTCATGTCATTGAAGCTGCTTTTCTTTTCTTTTCACAGTTTATCAACATAGCGTAACGTCCAATTACACGTCCCAAGTTATCTACAAAAATAACATAAGTGTAGTTACGGGAATTAATTTAAACAAAAAGCAGTACATTCGTCTCATACCTCGTCCACCTTTTTCCTTCTTCTTCTTCTATTTTTACGGCGGTTGGCATCCAGCGTATTG